TTTGAGAAAAAAGTGATTTTGAAAAGAAAAAGTGGGTAGTGTTTGGTAAATTAAGTGTTTTTTGTGTAATAGAAAAAGTAAAAGCACTTTTGACGCGGAAGCCGAGAAAAATAAAAGTTGTAGTCTTTGGGAAAATAAGTGCTTTTTTAAAGTCAAAAGCTGAGAAGTGTTTTTTTTAAAAGAAGTTGCAAACCAACCCTAATAAGGAGACATACGGGAGTGTTGCAACACACTACACTACTGATAATTAATTAATAACAAATACGGAGTAGAAACTAATTATAATCAAAATATCAGGTTCCAATTACTAAACCTTTTCGCTGAGCCTAGAAAGATAGAAGGTGACCACCAGTCGGATTCAGAAGTCCAGAAAACCAACGATTCGGCTACGCAATGCCCAGAGAGAAGCCAACAACTAGTCCCAGACAGTGAGTCGGCGGACACCATCCTTTTCCACATCTAATTATCTCTGGCTCTCTACAATTTTGAGGTTTAATATCTAAATTTTAACCCTAATTTACAAAATAATTTACTAATTTGTAATTGGTTCGGCCAAGTACCTTGCGGTATGATGGCATCACTGTGTACGTTTAGAATGTGTTTAAGAATTTTTATTTTATCCGATGTGTATTCACTTTTCATAGGCATAGTGTGTAAAAAAATTGAGTGTGTCCTCTCTAGTAGTATAATTTATTTGTAATTTGGTAAATTTAAATTTATATTTAATAGGTGCAGGACTTGTTGAGTTTTTTCTTGGAATAATGCTAATTAAATAAATATTTCCCAGAATACTGCTGGGTTAAGAATAATTCCCGAATTACTGTTTGCTTAACCATGGTTAAGCAAAGCCGCCACTCCAAGTGGCGGCTCTTCATCTAGCTTTATAAAAGCCGCCAGTCCGAGTGGCGGCTCTTATATAGTTATACAAAAGCCGCCACTTCGAGTGGCGGCTCATTAATCCGTAAACATACCCCTTTCTTCTCCAGCCGACGAACTAATCTGCCCTCCTCCTTCCCTCTGCAGCAATCGACGAACGGGAACAACACGAAGCAACTCCGATTCCGGCCAGCTTTCGTCCAAACGAAGCTCAAATCAAAGGGAAAAGGCTCGTGGTGTACCCGAGGTCGTTTGTACTCCATTCCATCGACTTTCTACTGTTTGAATAGAGGTATTCTACCATTTTTGCTAAACCTAGGTTTTTTAATTGGTTGTTCGAAATTACTTGTTTTTTTAATTAGTTTCTTTGTATTTGATGTTGTGAAATATATAACTTCTTAATCTTGTTATTATGATTGAATTTATATAATTTGTAAAATTTGAATGATACCAACTTTCACCTTTTTTGCTAAAGTTAGGTTTTTTAGTTATTGCTCTAAATTGCTTGAAATTGTTATTGTTTTGTTCAAAATTGCTGTTGATTTGCTTGAAGTTGTTGTTGTTTACTTGTTTATTAACGGATTTTGATTTTCTTTTACTAATTAACTAATGCTAATTAATCATGTGTTAATTTGTTGCTTTTTCATTACACCGCATTGTTTTTACTGGTTAATTATTATGAATCCTAATTTAATGGTATGAAATCGTAATATGTATCTACGATCTAATATTTTTCTTTTGAATTATAGCAATTGTAGTTGAATTTTCAAATAGCGGCATACGTCATACTTTTTTTGGAATGATTTTTTCATAGAATATGTCTAGAAACTTCTCCATTGTTTGTCAATGGGGAGGAAATATTATCGAGGAGTCAAACGGAGTTCATTATGAAGGAGGGATTCGGAAGATAATTGTTGTTTCCCGTGGGGTGGATCTTGCTGAAATAATGAATAAAATTTATGCCGCCACATCCATCAATCGTATGAACAAGTTGGATTTGAAGGTTAAATATCCCATGCATGGTGGATCATACATGTTGATGCCTCTTGTTGACGACGAAGCCGTTACAGGAATGTGGACTGTAATCGAGAATCTTGATATGCATACCATGGAGATATATGTTGAAGAAGTGGCGATGTTGCCCATACAACCTGGCCACCCGCCATTGTCTTGCCCATCCACAAGTGTTCCAGTTGTGATGAATATGGTTACACAGGAGAATGGAAGATACGTGAATAGTGATGCAACGTTTCTGGATTCACAATGCAATGACAACGATGCAGATGAAAATGTGAACCATGACACACTAACAGATTCAGATGAAGATGGTGGTGATCTCGTAAGTGGCAATGCACCATCCAGCCACTACACTAAAGTTTATGAGCTCCCTGCGGGATTTGATGAATCATGGAAGGGTTGTACAACTTCTAGTTGCTTCTCTGCAGATGGTGAATTCGAGGTTGGGCAAGAGTTTGATGATAAGAAACAACTGATCAACATGGTTAGAGCGTACTCTGTAAAAAGGAACCAATTTTTCTCAGTTGTAGAGTCTGACAAACACAAATGGGTGGCAGAGTGTAAGAGGAGAAAAGAATGTGGCTGCACTTGGCGGATCCGGGCTACTAAGAAACATGAGAAGCTAGAGATGTTCAAAGTTGTTCGTTATGCAGGTCCTCATATACCTACTTGTGTAGGTAACATCGATAACAATGACCATGCTGGTATCACAGCTCAGTTCATAGCCCATGAAATTATTGATCTTCTTCGTACCGATCCATCACTAAAAGTCCGCACTATCAGTCAGCTTATGAAGGAAAGGTACGGCTATATACCTTCATACAAGCGAAGTTGGTTGGCAAAGCAAAAAGCTATCGGTGAAATATTTGGAGATTGGGAGGCCTCGTATTCTGAATTGCCTCATTTCATGTTGGCATTACAACATTCCAATCCAGGGACAGTCGTGCATTGGTACCCACCTCTTTCAGGTACCATTGAGTTATTAATATCATTATCATATCGTATTAAATTTCATTTTTAATTCGTCCTCCTAATTTTCTCCATCTTCAGGTACCACTGATGTTCAGCAGTTTCAAAGAGTTTTTTGGTCATTTAAGCCATCCATTAAGGGCTTTAAACATTGTCGTCCCTTACTGACCATCGATGGAACACACTTATATGGGAAGTATAAAGGTACGCTGTTGGTGGCAATGGGTAGTGATGCTAATAATCAACTGTTCCCTTTGGAGTTTGCTATTTGTGAATCAGAGAATGGAGAAAGTTGGCCGTGGTTTATGGCGTGCATACGTCATTCAATCACACGCAGAGAATTGTGTGTTATTTCAGATCGACATGCTGGAATCATGAAGGCATTTAATGAGGTAGGGAGTGGATGGGAGGAGCCAGATGCACGACATAGGCTTTGTATACGGCATGTCGCTTCTAATCTGCATACTCAATTTAAAGACATTCACTTGAAGAATCTGTTCGTTTGGACAGCCAGTCAACGTCAAAAGAAGAAATTTGATGGTGGATTTAACAAGATAGGCGAAATGCATGCACAGGCACGAGAATATCTAGCGAACATTGGCTTGGAGAAATGGTCTTTACACCACGACGGGGGATACAGGTATGGCACCTCAACAACGAACATGGCTGAAGTTTTCAATAGCGTCATGAAAAGTGCACGATACCTGCCTGTAACCGCCTTAGTTGAGTTATCATTCTATCGTGTGAATGCCTATTTTGTGGAAAGAAGAGAAACTAGTAAGAGAAGATTAGCAGAAGGGCATCGCTACTGCCAGCAAGTGACCGAACTGATTGAGAAAAATACGGAAAAAGCAAAGCATCACAAGGTCACAATATTTGACATAGGCCGTGGTTTATACCAAGTGGAGACGGGTCGTGGTGGTCGAACCGTGGGGAAGGGTGGTAAAAAACAAACGGTGAATTTGCACCGTCGCCATTGCACATGTCAGAAGCTGAATATTTATAAGATTCCTTGCTCACATATATTAGCGGTATGCAGAGACCGTAGTTTGTCCTATGATCCATTTGTAGATATATTTTTTTCATCATCGGAGTATGCTGCTTCCTATAAAAGAGTATTTAAGCCCATACCAGATATAGCGTATCGACCTACTTACACTGGCCCACGAGTTGTGCATGACCCGTCGATGATTCGCGCTAAAGGTCGTCCAAAGGCTAAACGATTGAGAAATGAAATGGATGAAGGCCCTACAAGTACTGTGAGATGTAGTAAATGCAAGCAAACAGGGCATAACAGGACGACATGTGCTAGAAGATCGGAAGGACACGTAGGAAGTTCCACTGGGTATTGTTGTTCTTTTATTCACAAATGCATTAGCAATATTAAAAAATAAATAAATTTAATTTAATAATAAAATAAAATAACTAATACACTTATTACTTTTACAGCGCCGATGCAGGTGTCAGTGGATCCCGGACCGATTGATCCTTCAGTCCTGACATTGCAGGCCACGCACCGGAGCGAGGATGTGTGGCGTGGCCTGGATGTTCAGGTAGATAGGTGTCGTGAGCACCTACGCAGTATATTCCACATGGGGGTGGACGATAGGATTCTACATTACGTTCGATTAGCTGGGTTTTATGGTGTTCACAGATTAGTTTCGACTCTGCATATAGATAGAGCATTACTTACCGCTCTACTTGAGCGTTGGAGGCAGGAGACTCACACGTTCCATTTACCAGTGGGTGAGGTCACGATCACATTAGGAGATGTGGCTGTATTGGCAGGTCTACCGATCGAGGGTCGGGCAGTTACTGGGACTGCATGTAGACTGTGGGTTGATTTAGTACACAGATTGTTGGGAGTACGGCCACACCCTGGGACAGATATTCGGGGGTCCGCCTTGAGGATGGCTTGGTTAAGAGAGCATTTTGTTGGTTTACCTGCTGATGCTGATGACGATGTTGTGCAGCAGTACGCGAGAGCCTACATTCTGATGCTTATGGGAGCTTCCACGTTTGCGGACAAGAGCGGGAATGAGGTGCAGGTCTTGTATTTACCCATTCTGGAGTCTTTTGATGTAGCTGCAGTTTATAGCTGGGGCAGTGCGACTTTAGCATACCTATATCGGCAGTTATGTCGAGGATGCCATCGTGACGGTGGAGAGATGGGTGGGTTTTTATTGTTGATACAGCTATGGTCATGGGAGCACATTCATATCGGCAGACCTGTCATACTGCGATATCATGGGATAGATGGTGGTCCTCTTGATGATGATATGGATCAGCACGCTGTACTTGGGCCACATCATGTTCGTGGCGAGGATCCTTTGGGTCGTAGGTATGTTTATGATTTTTTTTTGTATGACATACGTGAATCCCTTTTATATTCATATACATTACTGTGTGTCAGATGGCTATTTGCTCATGTCACGCGCACGTCATCCGCTGCTGGATTAGGATACTACCGAGATGCTTTAGATCGCTTGTGTGATGATCAGGTATATCATTTATATCATTAAATGTAAGTACTTTGTTTTATGTTTTTATAAACCATGGTCTAACATAATTTTATATTATAGATGACGTGGATGCCGTACACTGATGAGATTTTAGGGCTGTTGCCTCCTGTTGCCCGAGAGCACACTGAGATATGGCGAGCACGTGTGCCCTTGATATGTTTTGATGTAGTGGAGCATCACTTTCCTGATCGCGTACTACGCCAGTTCGGGTTGCAGCAGATTACTCCCAGACCTTGTGATACATCTGTGGATTTGCACAAGATTGATAGACGGGGGAAGCACACTGAAGATTGGGGGATGCGCCATATTCAGTATATCACTATGTGGGATGAGAGAGCGGCGTATATAGTGGACAGGATCCCATCATTAGTCCCCACAGCTTCTGTAGACTACATGAGATGGTATTACACCATCACACGGGTGTTTATCTCTCCCAGTTTTCGTTTACCCACTGATCATTACCAGCCTAGCTCAGTCGCTCTTCATATGACGGTAAACAATATAGTCAATGAAATATCTTTATTTATTTATTCATGTGTTTTTCACTAATAACCATGTTTGCATTACAGACACGGGCTTTGCGTAGCATCCATGACAGAGCGACTGCTATACTTGATGAGGCGGTAGATGTACAGGGATACCATGACGCTTGTTCAGGCATTGTTTCACTGTGCGCTGATGTATTGGGTCGAGTGGATTATGGATATATGGCCACCTCTCAGCATTCCACCGCATCTACATCCGCAGCAGGGTCTTCTCAGGCAGTCCGACGTGATAGAGTTGTTCTTCAGCCTCGTAACCAGCGCAGGCGTCCCCGAGCACAGCCACATGAACTTCATGATGATGATGATCACATTGACTTATGATGTTTGTATTTAAATTATTGTGTGAAAGTTGTAGCATGCACTGGCAGATCGAATCATTTTGTGAAACACCAGATTTATTATAACTTTTATGGTTTATACTCAATTTTGTGGTGCATTGATTCGTTTTGTGAAAGTTTCATAATATTTAGTTTCATTGATTCGTTTTGTATTTTGGATGTATGTTGTCATGTAGTTTCATTGATTCGTTGTAACACCGTCCCCAAGTGTATTTACTTTTAAGTGAATATTGTATTTTAACCTTATGGAATGGTTAACGAATTTATGATGTTACGAATTTTTAATAATTCTTTTGCACGAATAGTAAATTCGCACGTGGGGCCCGCACCGGGAGCGGGGGCCGTCCGATATTCCCGGGGCCACATAAATTATTCATCTTGGTCTAGATAATATTTATATGGTAGGGGATAACTCATTTGAGCCATGGGAAGGGTCCAGAGTTGACCGATTGGTCAAAAGAGGCCCAAATGTCGGTATTGGCAATTTAACCGATAAAAGCCCGAAATTGAATTTCGGGGACTTATAAATTAAAATTGGGAAATGTATATTCATTATAAGGGTCATAATTATTGAGAACACATAATATATTTTATTTGACCCGATAAAATAAAATATATTTAAAACAGCCCGAAAAATACAACTTTCGGGACCGATTGTACACTTTTGGACAAAAAGGGTTGACCTCCCACATGGGTGGGGGCCAACCCACGAATTTAGCCACATTTCTACCATTCTTGGGCGGCTGAATTGAGAGGGGAAGGATGGGGTATGTTGGGTTGATTGGAAAAGGATCAAAGAGACATGAGGTGGGCCTCCCACCCACACTCATTGGTCTATTGAGACAAAAAGGACCATGTACCACCCCCCTCCCTCATATTTCGGCCAGCACTCCTCCAGCAAGACCAAGGGAGCTCTCAACCATCCTCCTCCATTGTTGAAGGGAGTTCATCAAGGAAGAATCCCAAGAAAAAGAGCTAAGGTGCTAAAAGTGTGGAAGGATTAAGGTAATGACCTTATATTAACTTTTCCTCTATTTTTCTCCTACCATATGAGATACATATCTTATGGAGAACCCTTGAGGTTGTTCTACATGCCAACCCTTGAGGTTGTTCTACATGCCAATAGTGTGGAATAATGGGTTGGGGAGTAGTTCTAAGTCCAAGAACGGACTTAGAAGCCAAACCGACCGGTTCACCGGAAAATAACCTTTTAAGGGTTATGTGTATTGATTAAGGTTTTATGATGTTAAAACCTTGTTAGGAACTTGATTTAGAGTATCTTTGAGCTTCACCGGAGTTTCGCCGGAGTTGGTCAAAGTTGGCCGGAGTTGGTCAAAGTTCACCGGAATTAGTCAAAGTTCAACCGCGGAGCGTAGAACACGCTTAAGCTCACTTAAGGTGAGGATGACCGACTATATTGCTTATAATCTTTGGGTTAATTTCATAAGATTTCCTAAATGAATACACAATGTGATTTGCATGGATTATTAATGGTTAATAATGCCTAAATGAAATTACTATTGATTATAAGTATAGGTTGCATAATATACAAATTTATTGAATAAATTGTGTATGTCTAAATGTTATGATTATGATGGCATGATGGTAGTATCAACCATGAAATCCCATTTGTGATAAGTATACTTTTATCTCATGAAAAGAAGACATGAAGGAATAAAGGTGATATTTTGATATTGAGGCCAAATTTCATATTTAATGAAGAATTGCATTGAAATGAGTAAATAACTAGTATTGAAATATTAGTTGGATTTGTAGTTGAATAATGGATGAATGGATCCTAAGAAATTGAATTGTAAAGAATCGGTGATTATTGAGCTGGGCTCTAGACCGATGTAGATAATGGTGATTATTGAGCTGGGCTCTAGACCGTATTAGTTATCGGTGATTATTGAGCTGGGCTCTAGACCGATGTAGATAACGGTGATTATTGAGCTGGGCTCTAGACCGTAGTAGTTATCGGTGATTATTGAGCTGGGCTCTAGACCGATGTAGATGACGGTGATTATTGAGCTGGGCTCTAGACCGTAGTAGGTAACGGTGATTATTGAGCTGGGCTCTAGACCGTGGTAAGAAATGATGAATTTACACTAAACGAATAAAGTTAACCTTGATACAATAACACCCTAGATTGAGGGTCTTGGAAATTGAAACTTTGATTATACTTAGTATAGTTGTCATTGTACTTGTCAAATGCTTCCAAGTACTGACCTTCCCTTCACGGGGGAGGCCACCTCACAGTTTCAGGTAGAACTTGAAGGTTGCTACCACCGCCGTTGTTTTCGGGAGAATCCAGGAGAGGAGACGTGGTTCGCGCTTCCTCCGTTTCCATTTTACAAACTATTTAATTAATGCTCATGGATATTATATTTTTAAATATTTATTTGGGGGCTTGTATGCCCATGTTTGCCAAGGTGTGGCATGAATACTCGTATTGAATGTTTCCGCTGCTATGAATGAATATTTTACATTATGTTTGTTTATGGATGTACTATGTGTGAATGATATTCCAGACGCCTTGTATAGTATGGATGTGTTGGACTGCGGTTGACTATTCGTACTGTACGGCGGATTGTTGACGTGTCCGGTTAGGTCCGGGGCGTGACATTCGTTTTATGTTTTGGGTGTATTTTGTCTTAGTAAATCATATGTTTGGTTGTTTTTTTGAATGGAATGGACTGTGATTTTGTGATGAGCTGTTTTTCTGGTAATTACAGGTTTAGTTGTCTGAATGATGTTGCAGCAGGTTCGTTACCACAAGAGCCGCCACTTGGAGTGGCGGCTTTCATACAGAAGTAGAAGAGCCGCCACTCCAAGTGGCGGCTTTTGTACAGCTTCACAAAAGCCGCCACTTGGAGTGGCGGCTGTCCTTAACCGTGGTTAACACCAGCAGTATTTCGGGAATTATTCTTGACCCGGCAGTATTTTGGGAATTATTTATTTAATTAGCATTATTCCGGGAAAAAACTCGGACTTGTTATGATTTCCGCCTCCCAATGACAAATTAAATTATTTAAATTGTTTCTTTACGTTGGTTTTAGATTTACTTGTTAATATTACATAATAAAATATTACATATTTTGATACTATAGAAAATATTGACCACTCCATATGATTGGTGCACTATCTTTGTAGTAATTTTGTTGTAATAAATTTTGTGATGCACTTTGAACTTAAGTTGCTTACTAAACTTTTACCCCGTATTTGAGAAGTTGTTTAGTTCAAATCCGGCCCACCCCTTTATAGTATCATGGCTCCGCCTCTGCCCCTGGCGGTAATGCAACTATTAGACAAAGTCACTAGAGACTAGGAGTAATTCAGTAAATTTAATACTCCGTAATTACTACTCACATTTTCGGAAAACAAAAAAGTTTCATTTTTATCAACCATCTACTTTTTAGTAATAATGATGTGAAAACTTTTCAATTTACTCTACATCCTAGGGCACATACGACTTCTCTTTAGGGTTTCGCAGCCCTTAGAGCTTTTTTTCGTCTTCGGTTATACGAAGGACGGATGGGTTTCTCCTCGACGATCTTCATCCACGGAAGTCCGCTTCCGCTGTTTGGTGGAGTCGAGCGAGGTTTCGTTGTTACTTCGGTGTTGATTGCTAACTGTGAGGTCGGGCGAGAGCAGGGAAGCATTTTTTCTCTTGTCGAGGAGAAGAGGTCGACGGAAAAGAAGATGGTCGTGAGGGGTGATGTAGCTACGAGTGCGGGACGAGGAGTGTTGCAAAGACTTCGAGTAGGCCAGATTGCGTTTGACAATGGAGGATCAATTAGCAAGGTACCGGTGGAACGACCTCCTCCTGAACCACCACCATGAGTTGTACGAGGTGCAGAATTCCGTGATTTGAGCGAGGTTTGTACTTATAGAACTTTTGGTACTTGAGTTGCAAAGTCTCTAATTGTTAAGATGGTACCCTTAACAATTGGTATGGCGGTGATTTGAGCCAAAGGATGTCTTTAAGTACCTATCCGTCATTTGACATTGATACGAGTCTAATGACTCATTCTAATTTCTTTCAGAAATGGAACCAGTTGGAAGGATCACTAGGAGGAACCCGATGGGCCGTGTGCCGGGTGGGTCCGAGCGCGGTAGCTGGGGGTCCTCTAGGGGATCAAGAGGAAGAGGCCGTGGAGGCCGACAACAACAAACCGTGAGCGATGGCCACGTCGATACGGAAAGCGAGACCTATTGGTCTTATGAGGATTCGACCTACCGGCCTGAAACTGAGCCGGTAGAGACCCCTTATGAAGGGGATGATGATGATGTGAGTGACGAGGAGGAAAATGGCTCCTTGGCTAGGATCGAAGCGCTGCTCCAACAATACCATCGGGAGCGCGAGGAAAGGAGGGAACGCCGAAGGCGCCGTGAGGGGCAACCTTCGGGCGGGGCTCCTAGGGGAAGGAGTTTTTGTGATTCGAGGACCCATGTGGAAGCACATGGAAGTCGAGGTGATGGAGGTCCAACCATAAGGATCTCCAAATACATCAAAGAGGCGAGGGACTTGGGGTGCAAACCGTTCGATGGAACGGGGGACATCTCGGTGGCCGCGCAATGGATCAAGAGGCTGAACGAGGCAGCCCTTGACATGCAACTCACCCCCGATTTCAAACTGAGAATCGCGGTGAGGTTACTTGAAGGGTTGGCATCCAAGTGGTGGGATGGAACCAAGGGCAAGTATGGCGGGACTGTTACGTGGGAGGATTTTCGGCAAGAATTCTTTGCCCAATACTACTCCGATTTTGAAGTGAATGCAAAGGTGAGGGAGTATACCCTTCTCACCCAAGGTGGTAACATGACAGTGAAGGAGCTTGAGCACAAGTTCAGGGACCTTGCCGACCACATACCGGAGTATGCTTGTGATGAGAACCGAATGGTGAATCACTTTTGGGAGGCCTTGGACCTGGAGATACGTGATAGGGCGACTCAATTGCCCAACATGACGTTCAGCCAAGTGGTTGCCCAGGGATTGAAGGGAGAAAAGCAATGGGAGGAAAGGAAGAAGAGGGACGCCGAGGAGGCAAAGAAGAGGAAATGGGAGAACCATGGCCCCCAAGGTTCTAATAAGAAAGGGAACCAT